CAGAATCGTTCCTGTCAGAATCGTTCCTGACAGAATCGTTCCTGTCAGAATCGTTCCTGACAGAATCGTCCCTGACAGAATCGTTCCAGACAGAATCATTCCTGACAGAATTTTTCCTGACAGAATCTTCAGAACCCTGGAGAACAGCTGGCCCAACCTCCTTGGTGTTGGACTGCGGTTACCATGGAAACACTAACCTGTGTTTCCACGATAACAAACACCGGTGAAACTATAACTTTATTGTTAAATGTTCTCAGAGGTTCTGGTTTCCTACAGGCTGAACTGAAATGAGTGTTTTATCCACAGCTGATCAGAACCGGTCTCCAATGTCTCAGCAGGATTTTGCTGCACGGAACCACCCTGGAGGTCCAACTTCACACAGAAACCATCTTCCCAGTTCTGCCTGGAATAAGAACATGAACTTTAACCCTGATTCACAACCAAACAGTCCAATCAGATGGCAGACAGTGTGGTTCTGACTGCAGTCTCTGGGTCCAGATTGGACAGAATAATCCTGAGTGGGTTTGGACAGTACAGGTCCTCTGACTCTGAAGGTTCTTTAGGAGTTTTAAGGTTGTGAAGGTTGTGAAAATCATCTGGAAACATCTGCTGTGTGTGTGTGTGTCTTAGCAGCTGTTGTCATGGAAACACCATCTGGTCCAGCCGGAGATTTCTAGTTCCGGTCGGTCTCCTGGTAACCGTGTCAGGTTCAAGAGGATTAGTTTGTGTTTGCAGAAATGTTCTGATTGGGTTTATCTGGTTCTGATCTGGTTCCTTTTGAGTTCCTTTCAATGGAACCTGGGCCTAGATAAAACTTCAAACTGCTCACCAGAACCTCTCAGAACCCGAACCACCACGTGTCCCCCTGGTCTCCATGGTGACAGAGACACTCATTGTCTCCATGGCAACCAGCTGCCTGTCAGAGACCTGGTAAAAAACACAGAACTCATCCGGGCTTTCCCGCAGATCCAGAGTTTTGCTGCTGCATCTTTGGAGAACTGTGCAGAACCGATGGTTCTTAAGAACGGGATGGAACGGGTCCAAAGTCCAGAACAGAGTCCAGAATGAAAGTCCAAAGGATCTTGACTCCAGAAAGTCTAGATGACAGAGACCACCAACAGTCCTGAGACCAAAGTGGGTCCAGTTCTGGTACAGAATCCAGTCCAGAACCAGGGATCATTTTTTTTAAATTACTTTACCAGGAAGAAATCCACTGAGATCATCAATCTCTTTTACAAGGATGTCCTGGAGACCTGACCTGACCATGGTCCAGTAAAAGGTTAGTCTTGCTGAAGATTCAAGGTCTGTTGTTGAAACAGGCAGAGCTGGACCAGATCAGAACCAGAACTGGACTGAAAAACACAACCAAGTCTCTCAGCAGGTTCTGATCCAGTTTCATCATCAGGACCAGCAGATCCTAAAATGAACCAAGACTGAAACCTGAACACAAGTCCAGTCTGATGGTTCTGGATCACAAAAAGTTTATTCTATGTGACAGAACCACTTCCTGACCTGCCCCAGGTCCAAACTACAACAAACAGGTTCTGGTTGGACTCAGGAAGCTGCCCTCTGATTGGTGGATTTAAGCTCCGCCCCCTGATAGGAGCAGAAAATTATAAAATAAAATGAAAATCTTTAAACTTTGGTTGATTTGATGAATTCAGCTGATCGGGTCAGTTCTGGTCAGGTCATGGTCTGATGTGGAGCTGTTCAGATCAGGAGGACTTGTGTTGGTTCCTGAGACCAGGGTTGTTTTTAGCCCCGAGTTCTGTCTGCAGGTTCCATCTGGCAGAAGCTTCTGGTCCAGCTCTGAGGTTCTGATGGTTCTGGTCCAGCTCTGAGGCCCTGATGGTTCTGGTCCAGCTCTGAGGTTCTGATGGTTCTGTTTCATCTCTAATCTTCTGATGGTTCTGGTTCTGTTTCAGCTCTGACCCAGGTGAAGCTGTGGGCCATTGACCGGCTGTGCTTCCAGACCATCATGATGAGAACCGGACTCATCAAACACGCCGAGTACATGGACTTCCTGAAGAGGTGACCAGAACCTCCACTGTTTGGCTGGACTGGAGCAGAACCTGACCCAGGAAACCTCCTGCTGGTTCTGGTGTCAGGACAGAACCGGTACTGGTTCTGGCGTCAGGACAGAACCGGTGCTGATTGTTTTCATTATACCGTACCATTTTATTTATAGAGCACGTAAAACAGCTACAAGTCCACCCAAGGTGCTGTACAGACAGAGCAACACACAAAATGAAGTAAATCAGAATATAGACAAAAATGATGCAGATAAACATCTGAACCGATGAACCCAAACCCGGTTTGTTGCATCTTCGCAGCGTCCCCACCTTCCAGGACCTCCAGGAGGACACTCTTAGTAAACTGGCTGACGTCATGGAGGAGGTGAGTCTTCATCGTCACCTGACCCGTCCGTGTTCTGAACCGACCAATCAGACGCAGCGCTCTGTCTGCAGAACCACTACGACCGCGGCGAGTTCATTGTCCGGCAGGGCGCCAGAGGAGACACCTTCTTCATCATCAGCCAGGGCCGGGTCAGTTCACCCTCCTCTCCCTCACTCATGACCTCATCCTTTATGATCAGCTGACTCGTCCTATTGACCCCGCCCCTTTCAGGTGAATGTCACTCAGGGGGATTCAGCCAATCAGGAGACTGTACACCTGCGGGAGCTCGGCAGAGGGGACTGGTTCGGAGAGCGAGCGCTGCAGGGGTAGGATCATGTGACCTGCGTGACCTTTGACCCTTCTGAGCCTGGAGGCAGGGCCAGGCCATCTCCTGTCTTCTGACAGGATGAGATGTCATCAGGAGCAGCTCTCTGTTTTACCTAATGATGTTTCCACATGTTCATGTTCTGGTTCATTTGGGTCATTGCTGGTTCTGGTCTTGTCTCCTCAGGGAGGACGTGAGAACAGCCAATGTCGTCGCGGCCGAGCCTGTCACCTGCCTCGTCATCGACAGAGAGTAAGTCAGAACCAGAACCAGAGGGGTCAGCAGGTAGAACCTGGACGGTTCTGAGCGGGCTCAGACTGCCCTCTGCTGGCGGTCATAACACAGTTCTGGCCAAGACTAGAACCTGGCCAAGACTAGAACCTGACCGGATCTACTGAGACCAGCTGAGTCTAACAGAACCAGGAGGCACAAAGAATGAACCAGAAAGATCAAAGAAAACAAACAAACCGACTCCCAGAACCACTGCTGGTTCTGATGGGTTCTGGACTTTCATCCTCAGATCCCAGCAGTCCCGGTAACACCACTGTAGATGATAAGACCCAGGTCCCTGCACTCCTCATCAGGGCTTCCTGGACCAGATCCAGGGTCTTGATGCTCCTGAACCAGTTCTGCAAGAACACTCCAGACTCGGTCTAACTGGACCTCAGAACCGGTTCTACAGGGTGTGACTGAAGCTCATGGTGTCCTTCTGTCCCTCTGTCCTCAGATCCTTCAAGCACCTGATTGGTGGACTGGACCACGTGTCCAACAAAGTATACGAAGACGCTGCCGCTAAAGCCAGGTGGGTTCTGAAGGATTGACAGAAGCCAGCTTCACTGAACCAGGATCAAATCTTCAGATCATCAGCTGCTCATCTGAGGCTGAACTTATGGAAAATCATCAAGGTTGACTAATAATAAGCTAATAATGAACTAATGATCAATTAACTAATGAACTATTGATCAAATAATGCTTAACTAACAATGAACTAAAGATTAACTAATAATCAACTAATTATTAATAATAATCAACTAATGAATAACTAAAGATGAACTAATTAAGTAACGATTTACTAATAATCAAATAATAATTAACTAATAGTCAACTAACAATTAACTAATAATTAGCTAATAATTTACTAAAACTAATAATAACTATAATTAAATAATAATTAACTAATGATTAATAATAATAAACTAATGATTAAGGATTTACTAATAATCAAATGATAATGAACTAATAATCAACCATGATTAATAATAATCAACTAATGATTAACTAATAATTTAATATTTACTAATAATCAAATAATAATCAAATAATAATTAACTAAGAGTCAACTAACGATTAGCTAATAATTAGCTAACGATTTACTAATAAACAAATAATAACAAACTATAATTAAATAATAATTAACTAATGATTAATAATAATAATAAACTAATGATTAACTAATAATTAACTAACAATTTACTAATAATCAACTAATGACTAACTAATGATTAAGTAATAATTAACTATTGATTTACTATCGAAAAAAGTTAAATCTGGTCCTCTGGACCTTCAAAAAACAAAACAACGCAAAACAAAACAAAAAGTAGAAACGTTTCGTCTCTCATCCTGAGGACTTCCTCAGTCTGAGGAGCTGTATTCAGCTCAGTCTCTTAAATAGCACCTTCTCAGAGTGGATCAACCAGTTTGCTGCTGACAACCAGAACCAGCTGATCACATGCTCAAGAAGGACCATCAGCCTAACAATGGATCATTAGCACCTGATGGCTGTTTACTGTTCACAGAGGGCTGAGTGATACTAGCTATCACAGCATTTATTTATTTATAAGACTGAGCTGAATACAGCACCTCAGACTGAGGAAGTCTTTCAGATGAAAGACGAAACGTTTCTGCATTTTGTTTTGTTTTGTTTTTTTGAATGTCCAGAGGACCAGATTTAACTTTTTTAGATTTTTTTACCTGGATTATTGAGCATGCATCAGGATATTGATTTACTAATAATCTAATAATAATCAACTAATAATTGACTAATAATTAACTAATGATTAACTATTGAATCACCATCACGTAATGATCAAGTTATTAAAAAATGATTGATTGTATAATAATTAATATCTTGCAAAAAGACCTGAAGCTCTCGACCTTGACCTCTCTAAGTGTCTTCAAACATGTGATACGTAAGTTTCTTGTAAGAACCAACGCAGACATGTTCCTGTTTGTAGTTTTCTACACCGCCTTATAATCCAGCTGTTTTTGCAACTTTTCTTTTTGCCATCTTATTTTAATTTGAAAAAAAATCTGTACACTTTTTTATGATTATCCATTGATGTCATCATTCTTTGTTACAATCAGGTCTCTCTTGTAGATGAGTCCTCGAGACTCAATGGGACTAACCTGTAGAAATAAAGGTTGAATGACTGAATCAGAGAATTAACTGCAGACCTTTTAGCAGAGTTTTGGTTCTGGTTCTGTCAGCGCTGGATGAGACAGATTTTAATCAATTCTGATCAGTATATATTAAAATGTTTGACTCAGACATGAAGTCCTGGAGGTCATGTGACACCCTGATCACTGCCATGTTTCTGCTCAGCACACCGGATTGCATCTCTGTCCTTGGCTGGACTGTGGATTGACCCAGTTCTTCCTCTGGCCCAACCCAGACCTGAACTTAATCCACACCTTAGTTTTAAAGCCAATACAGAAAAGGTGTTCCGCTGTATTTGAACCGGGCTTTGGTCCCATGAAGAACTACTGGTCCTGATTGGGTGGGTAGGTGCTCATACCAGCAAAGCTCCTAGGAAAGAAAAACCAAGTACACAAACACTCACACACACACACACCAGGTGTGCTGTCAGTCATGCCTGTTGTTACGGTAACGGTACACAGTAAACACTTTGTAACCTGAGTGTTTGACCTTCATACTTGTAAGATTTTATTCGTCAAAGATTTTAGATTTTACAACTTCAAGTTTGATCAACTTCCATCATACTTAATGCTTTTTTAAATCAGTAATATTTAATGTTTGTAAATAGAAAGAAAACTTACCTTATAAACTACTATCTTTATGATCTAACAATTTATTTACAAGCTGTTAAATAGTTCAAAGCTAATTTCAGAAGCGGATCAGAACAGTGTTCCCTTCAGACTGTTTCTCGTTCCCTGGTGTCCTGCAGCAGAGCTGTTACTTGATTATGATGTTTACATTATACTGTTTATGTGTTAACAATTAGTTGTTTACATGTTTACATTATGATGTTTACATGTTTACATTATACTGTTT